TAAATTTGGCTCTAGAACAGCAGCAAAACTGAGCACTTCTTGCTTCTCTTGTCCTTCTCACCATGAATGAATGAGGCATCTTAGTTCCGTCTTCCAGAACTATTTTTCAATCCAGATACTGAGCGTTCACCTCAAAGACCCAAACACTCTCTGAGTCTGAGCTATGAAACACAACTCTTCAAATTTGGAAATAAGTGGGTGTTTGCTCCTTATTTAAAATGGGTAGGGGTATTTTCTCCCATTGTTACAAGCCTGTCCTGCTGTTCTTGAAAGATAAGCAGAAACCGGAAAAGGCCATGGGGATTTCAGTAGTGTCAGAATTGAGTTGATTCCTGACAAAGGTGCTGAGTGGCCAAGATTTGCTTGCTGGTATGGAGAAGCCTCTACCCATGCTCATGTTAGAACTGGGTGCAGGACTCCGTTTCACTGTCTAGAATCCATTTCCTCTTCACTGGCAAGGAAGGGCAACCTAGGAGAAGGCGAAGGGAAACTTTTGGGGAATCACCCTTCCCCCACCGTCAGTGCAAGAGTCAAAAGAGGACTCCACATCCTGCTCCAAGCATGAGGCACGTGACCTGTCTGACCAGTTACTGTGCTCCAGGCTCTTTTCTCTACATCATCGGTTTGAGACTTGAATTGTGTGGAGCAAGACATGATGTTGGAAACCCATTCTACTTTTTTTTTAAGGTTTACTTTTTATTTATGCATATAGAACTGAGGTACAGACTAGAGGTACAGGGGCAGTGAGAGGCTTCACCAGAGACAGAGTGGGGAGCAGAACAGGTAGATTGATGACATACACTGCTGGAGGGTCAAGAGAGGTATGCCGCGCCATGAGGATCATCTTTGGGACGGGGGATGGAACACGCACTGAAGCAGCTGTGGCTAGCTTGCAGTGCTGGTCCTAACCCGCTGCACCACCCCAAACTATTTTTCACAATTAAAGGAGAGGTGAAGGATCCAGTTGTCCCCAAAACCCACCTTTTAGCCTGTGGGTGGCTAGTCCTTGTTGTGCACACTGGAAAACACAAAGGCTATGGAGCCTGTCCTTGCAGAGAGTAGTGCATTAGAGCACAAGAACTTAGAAAATGCTAACACATTATTATAAGTGTTTAAAAAGTGAGCAACAGGCCCAAAATGCATTATTCATTTCAGACCCTTGCAAAACTTAATACTTAATTTAATTAGAATTTCAGCCTCTTCCCAAAGGGGAATGCTAGCCAATCAATCAGGTGTTTCCAGTTTAGCACCAGGATAATCTGCAAGATAAGGCCCTCCTGCCTCCCCTTACAGAAAACATAACTATGCCTGAAACAATATTTCTTTTCTTCTGCTGATAATTTTGTCCCATCTTCCTCCTGACCATAAAACTCTGTCCCTTGTCAATGGGTTGTTGTCCTAACTTGTGACTTGATTTACAAGCTTGTTCTGATGAATTTTGTTCATTAACATAAGGACTATGTTCACCATATTTACATTAACACTAGCTCATATATTTAAAATATGGTTGTATTGGCTGACAAGGTTAAGCCTAATGACCTGGTAAGGGAGCAAAACTGTGTCACCCCCAAATGTCTCTTGGACATCAGGTTTGTTTCATGAGAGGGGCTCTGAAAGCTGGGAGGATCTTGCCCTGTGGTAAGAGACAGATATTTAAGGGATGACCCTCAATATACCCGAAAGACCTACTGTCTCTCAGCTAGCATTGGAAGTTTGCATTTACATCTGCACAGCCTTGTCCTGTTGCCCGGGGCTCTCCTGGTGACTTCCCCTGGTTGACCATCCTCCCTCTTCCTTCCTTCCTTCCTTTCCTCCTTCTGCTTCCTTCCTTCTATTTCCTTTATCCTAGCTAAAAATATATCAGGCCATGAGAGTGAGCTATTCAGTTTTACTGGGCCTCCCTCATGCATACAGGACATATATATTATATCAAACTTCTTTTGGGGTTTTTCCTCTGGTCAATCTGATTTTTGATTATTTGATTATTTGCCAACCTTAAGAATCCAGAGGTATATGGGAAGACGTTCTCCTGCACCACCAAAGCTCCTATCTTTCAGGTATTGAAATAAAGGTAAATTAAAGCATGACTGAAAAAAAATTACTAACATTGCCCCATTAAGTAGTAATGGAATTGCAACAGGGTAGTCCCCAGTAAAAGGGGAAGTTCCACCCAGAAGGAGGGTAGAGCTGAGCAGAGAAAAGAAAAAGAGAAGAGAAAGAATCTGAGAAGAAGAAGGAAGCAGGATGGAGAGCCAGAAGGAGACCTGAGGAAGCCACATAGAGCAGGGAGCATGTGAAGAAACCGTGTTTATTTCTTGGCCCTAGACTGGTTAAAAGTGATGTGGGTGAAAGACCCATGGGGAGGTTGACTATGTCAGTGTTTATATTGATCTTGATTTTGCTTTTTTTCCCCCAGATTGTCTGCCCATTTCTGACCCTATTCAATGGATCCCGGCCAGAAGGTGCTTTAGTCTTGTGGTGGACTTTCAGGACTTGCTTTGGACCAATCCCTTTTTGGTGGACTTTTGCCCACGAGGGGATGGGTAACTTCAGGTGTTTGATTTAAAAGTTATATTCTTTGTCTTCTGAATTGTATACTCACTATATTAAAGTTCCTTTTCATTAAAGTCTTACTTATATGGTTTGTCTTGATGCGGCGGATGGCAGAACCCACTTAGAGCAGGCAGGTTTGGGGGTTCAGTGGTGCTCCTCCCTCCCTTCCTGTAACAGAATAACTGGGCTTCTTCCTTTTCCTCTCTTTCCCTCGCTCCCTCCCCCCCCTCCTTTTTTTTTTCAATTTTGCAAGGTAACAGAAAAGCAGATAAAAGTTTCAGCTCTGAGTTTACCTGAAATCTAATCACAGCTAAAGCATTCACTGGCTCTATGGCCTTTGGGAAATCACTTCTGTTCTTTCTATTTTTGATCTTTGAAATGGGAGGATGGGCCCTCCCTGGTGGCGCAGCAGGTTAAAGCACTGCACTAAGAAGCTTAAGCCACTTCAGCATGAGTTCGATCCCCGCCTGCCCCGGAGGTGAACACATGGCGTGGCAGACCTCTCCTGACCCGCCCGCTGCTCCCCTCAGCAGTATATTTCATAGATCTGCCTGTTCTGATCCCCACTCTGTCTCTGGTGAAGCCTCTCACTGCCCTTGCACCTCTGGCCTGTACCCCAGTTCTGTATGAACAAATAAATAAATCTTTAAAAAAAAAAATGGGAGGATGCCTCCTCCTCTGTAACTAATATACTTAAAAACTAGTACTCACTAGAGAAGATTGTTTTATCAATCAATTAATTAATTAATTACCTGAAATAACTAGTATAATGGATTTAAAAGTACGTTGCATGACCCTCTCTGGTGATGCAGCGGATTAAAGCACAGCACTAAGGGCCCTCCCTGGTGGCGCAGCGGGTTAAAAAACAGCACTGAGAATCTAAAGCCGCTTCCACATGAGTTCGATTCCCACCTGCCCCAGAGGTGACCACATGGTGTGGCA